ACCCCAAAATTGGCGCCAAAACCCGCGTACGGGCCCCCCAAAGTTTTTTTGGGGTCAGTTCATAACTCGAGGATCTGAGAAGCTAGAAGGTTGAAATCTGTCCCAAAGTTTTTTCGGGGTCAGCTCATAACTCGAGGATCTGAGAAGCTAGAAGGCTGAAATCTTGGAGTAATGTTCCCGCCCAAGTGGCTATTAGTGGGCTCAAACCCAGCCCCCGGGTAAGCGTGGTACCCCCGCACGAGCCCCCTTAATGTTCCCCGCCCAAGCGGGTATTAGTGGGCTCAAACCCAGCCCCCGGGTAAGCATGGTACCTGTCCCGCGCCCAAGCGGCTATTAGTGGGCTCAAATCCAGCCCCGGGTAATCGCGGTACCCGCGTACGGACCCGATCAGTTCATAACTCGAGGATCTGAGAAGCTAGAAGGCTGAAATCTTGGGGTAACGTTCCCCGCCCACAAGTTCATAACTCGAGGATATGAGAAGCTAGAAGGCTGAAATCTTGGGGTAATGTTCCCCGCCCAAGTTCATAACTCGAGGATCTGAGAAGCTAGAAGACTGAAATCTTGGGTTAATGTTCCCCGCCCAAGCGGGTATTAGTGGGCTCAAACCCAGCCCCCGGGTAAGCATGGTACCTGTCCCCCGCCCAAGTGGGTATTATTGGGCTCAAACCCAGCCCCCGGTAAGCATGGTACCCCCGTACGAGCCCGCCAAAATTTTTTTGGGTAAGTTCATAACTCGGGGATCTGAGAAGCTAGAAGGCTGAAATCTTGGGATAATGTTCCCCGCCCAAGCGGCTATTAGTGGTTCAAACCCAGCTTCCGGTTAGGCGTGGTACCCGCGTAGGGCCCCCCAAAATTTTTCCCGCGCAAATTCATAACTCGGGGTTCTGAGGCGCCAGAAAGCTGAAATTTTAGAGGAATATTCCCCATCCAAGCAGGTGCTAATGGGCTCAAATCCAGCCCCCAGGTAAGCGTGATACCCGCGTACGGGCCTTCCAAAGTTTTTCCCGCGCAAATTCACAACTCGGGGTTCTGAGGTGCCAGAAAGCTGAAATTTTAGAGGAATGTTCCCCGTCCAAGCAGGTGCTAATGGGCTCAAATCCAGCCCCCGGGTAAGCGTGGTACCCGCGTACGGGCCCCCAAAATTTTTCCCGCGCAAGTTCATAACTCGGGGATCTAAGAAGCTAGAAGGCTGAAAACTTGAGGTAATGTTCCCCACCCAAGCGGGTATTAGTGGGCTCAAACCCATCCCCCGGGTAAGCGTGGTACCCACATACGGGCCCGCCAAAGTTTTTTCCGTGTAAATTGATAACTCAAGTGTCTGAAAAACTAAAGGAATGCAATTTTAAGAGGATATACCCCGTCCACCTAAGTTTCATTCAGCTCAAATTCAGCTCCCAGGTATGCTTGGTTAAGATGCACGGGCCCGCGTAAATTTTGTTCCAGTAAGTTGCTAACTCAGGTGCCAGGGAAGCTAGA